CTCTCTCTCTCTCTCTCTCTCTCTCTCTCTCTCTCTCTCTCTCTCTCTCTCTCTCTCTCTGTGTGTGTGTGTGTGTGTGTGTGTGTGTGTGTGTGTGTGTGTGTGTAAAAAAGAGTTGCCTCACGCTGTTTTCCAATGAGCTGACAAGCTTATTAGGCAGGGCTCCTCCCTTTGTTGCATCTCTGCAGGAAGAGCAGGAGAGCGCCAGCCTAATAATGTGTGTCAGCTTGTTGGAGAAGAGCCTGAAGCCAGCTTGCCAGATGAGCAGATCGGAGAGAGAGAGAGAGAGAGAGAGAGAGAGAGAGAGAGAGAAGGAGAGGAAAGAGAGGGAGAGGAGAAAGTGGGAGAGGAGAGAGAACTCATGCACAGCATCCTCTATTTCTTTTTAATTAAACTCTTCAATCAAGGTCCGCATCCCTTGTGTGCACAGGTGCGTGCACAAGTTTTGCGGCTTCCCAGTGTTTTTTCTGGGAAACGGGTCCAAGTGGCTCTTTGAGTGTTTAAGGTTGCAGACCCCTGGGCTAGGTAATCTTCCTGAGGCAGCTGCTGCTTAACTTCAGATTTACAGGGTGGAAACCTCCTCTGGGAAAAACTGGTGTAGAAAATGGGTTTGGGGGTCCACGGAAGTTCTAGGCATCGATCAGTGGAACTATATTCTCCATACCACACAGGCTGACTTCACACTGAAACTAAGCCACCCATGATCTATCTATGCTGGCTGAAGTCAGATGTCTTTCCAAACCAAACAGCGATGTGAGATCCGGATTGCCGAAGTTATGGCAATAACATGGCTGCACACCCCTGCTTGAAAGGTGCAGGGATGGTTAAGGAGCTCAAGACCCTTCCCGAAGTGAAGGGTCGCTCTTGCCACAAGCTCTGTAGCTGTGGGTGTCTTATGTGAACACACGTGGTTTTGGCAGATAGTTACAGCTGAATTCACACCACATGCTGGGACATCATATGGCTTGTTCTGGACTCTGCCCATTGTAATTTGTATTTTTGCTGTACAGCCCATCCTTAAAACAGTAGCCTGACCTGGTGAATGAAAAGAGCTAGCTGTTCCCTCTGGAAAACTCGCAGAAAACTGGGGATGGGATGCGGGATCCTTTAGAGTGGAATGTCATGATTTTTGCAATTTAGACGCTGATGTGAGCCTCTAGCATTTTGGATAGCAGCTCCATTTAGTGCACCGTCTTCCATCAGTTTGCCAAAGCTGTGTATGTTTTCTTTTGTCGTGCAGTGTTTTTGCTCGCAGGATCTGTGTGTAGGCTTCCAGGAACAGGAGCGCTTTTACGATAACGAAGCTTGCCAAAATTCAAATGAAGTGCAAAGATTTTGCCGAAATGCTGTCAGTTTTTCCTGGTTTTTTATTCAGTTCGCTTAGAAAATATTTATAGCGCAGAGGTACATCAAAGTACCTCTCTGCACACCTTCAGGTATTCAGTTGCAGTTCACCTTTCAAAGAGTATTTGAACCACCTGCAATGTATGTGTGTTCAGCATTTCTTTAACATTATTATTTAATGCCCTGCTTTTAAAGATCACGATCCTTCCTTTTGAACCTAAAATTGACAGCGCTAGTGTTTTCTTCGTTTACCCAGAGCTTGCTAGGAGGGGAAAAGCTACGCTAGATAAAGAGAATGGTGGTATTGATTTAACCAACCTATTGGGGAGAACCCCACCCTAAAACATAAATTTGATTTGACAGATAGTTCAAGAAATGAGGAGGTTCAGGTCACTCTCTCCTACCTTCTGAACCAGGGGCCTTCAAACTTGGCCCTTTTCTGACTTGTGGACTTCAACTCCCAGAATTCCTCATCCAGGCACACGTGCCTGGCTGAGGAATTCTGGGAGTTGAAGTCCACAAGTCAGAAAAGGGCCAAGTTTGAAGACCCCTGCTCTGAACAATCGCTGGATTCTCATATTGCAAATTTCATTCTTGCAAACTATTGCATTCTCCACCTTAACGCATCAACCTTTGTTATAACATGGCTGTTTTGTGGCCATTGTGTCTTGCGCACACCCGGGAAGACCACAGAGACAGAGGTTACATCAGCTCAGCCTCTGCTTTCATACACGTTTAAAAAGAAACCAAATGGAAGAGAAAAAGTTCAGTATCTTTAATAAACACAGTATAAAATCAGCATCACATGCTGCATCTGGGTTTGTGTCCCACCAGCTCTCTCTCTCTCCTTGCATCCCTTGCTTGGGTTTGTGCTGATGTGCAGAATAATGAGCACCTGTGGGGTTGACCTGTGTCTCTTTCCGCATGCATCCGTCCCTAGTGGGGTGTTCATCACTTTGGGTTATTGAGATTAGATCGGTGGCGTTCTTGCTACGTTTTTTTTGTTCAGTGCTACCTAGTCGAGTGTCAGTGTGGGTCTTGTGCTTGAAAGGACTGCGAAAACGGACTGTGATGAATGAAGTGGGCAGCCACACACACACACACAGGGGATGCTGAAAGTGTCCATATTTAGGCACAGAATTACTGTATAAAGCAGGGGGGGTTATCCAACCCTGTCCACATTAAGACTTCAACTCCCAGAATTCCCCAACCAGTGCATACTGGGTGAGGAATTCTGGGAGTTGAAGTCCACAAGTCTTACAGTGGCCAAAGTTGGACGCCCCTGGTATAAAGGGTGCAGATAGGTGTAAATGAAGCTTTTTGTGCTGTGAAAATACTCCCTTGGAGAGACATCCAACCGATGGAGGGATTCTTTCCCAATAAGCAGAGTGCAAGCCAGAGAGAGAGACACACACACAACTAAAATCAATCATTACAATAAATCCCAACAAGCCATCTCTCTTCCACACATGCACGCATACAAAGCCCGGCAAAGACAACTTGTGGACTCCCCTGGGTTACAGCCAGTACTGCTTGCTGCAGATGGGAGGCAGGGAGCGATGGAGCTGAGTTCTCCTCTTGTAACTGGGGTCATAGTAGTCCCACTCAAAGAGCTCCGCTTGCTGGGGATGCACAAGGGGCGTGTTGGGGCTCCCTTCGCTGTCGGTTGACAAGATCCGGACAGAGATGCCTGCAGAGAGAGAGAGAGAGAGAGAAGCTACCTCGTCACCCAGCGATTCTGCCAGCAGCCTCGTTATTTATCAACCTACAACCTACGTGGTTCTCTGTTATCCTCCAAATAGGAAGCCTTTATGTGGGCAAAACGTGCTTAGCGATGCGCGGGGGTGGTCTGCAGAATTACAAGGAGGAAGGAAAGAAATACAAAAAAGACCCCGAGGGAGACCTCTCAGCAGGAGCCGGGCATCCCACGTGCGAGGAGAAAAGGGGGCAAAAAAGGCTGGTTGCCCCTCCGGATCTGTTTTATTTTAGTTTTCCCTCTTCCACTCGGCTGTCTGTCTGGAAGGATTCAAGGGTGTCCAAGAAGCCTTTTCTATACCCGGCTTCTCGTATCCAGATCACGTATTTGTTGGCAGAGTTGAGTACTACAGAGATGTTAAAAAAAACACACACACACACCCCACCCTCCTTATGTCTCATCCGTTTTCATTAATCGCCCTCTCTCTAGCGGAAGACAATCTGGTTCAGTGTTGGTAGATCTGTCATGAGCTTGTTTGGTGTCAGAAGCAATCACGTCCTTCAGCTGAAGCCGAGGAAGGCGGCCTTCTTCGAAATGTCAGAAGAATTACTAGCTCGGAAGACCAGGTTGTGGTCACCGCAGCTCAAATGGCCTTCGGTGAGCTGTCCTAGGGAAGGCGGTCCAACCACGGCTGTTCAGTTGGGTTGGGCTGGTAGTCCCATCAAAGCCATCAGCCAACCTTCTAAAGCCAGAATGTCTCAACCTCGTCAACTTTTAAGATGTGTGGACATCAGTTCCCAGAATTCCCTAGCCAGCATTCTGGGAGTTGACATCCACACAACTTAAAAGTTGACGAGGCTGAGAAATTGACTTGGTCTTCACAACGTGCTCAACTTAGTTCAAAAAGGGTTGTGTTTGTATAAAACCTAAACCTAATCAAGGGCCCATTTTGCCTTGTAACCAACAAGACAAGCCATGGCCAACCCCGACAGCTCAGGACCCTTTTCCGAACACCAGTGGCGTGGTCAAGCTGTGCCATGCCTCTTGTGGAGCTCTCTGACCTGGCAGAGGCCTATGAGGTCGGGGAGCCTTGTGGGTGTTCCCCAGACAATACATTGGGACAAGGGTTTTATGAGAAGAAGCACTCAGTTCCTTTTAGACCCCTGAAGATTCTGACTTAAGAATTCTGACTTCAAATAGGGTGGCAATTTTGTCTGCGTGGGTCACATGACACCTTAGGCCAGGGGTAGGCAACCTTGGCTCTTTTATGACTCGTGGACTTCAACTCCCAGAATTCCTGAGCCAGCCATGCTGGCTCAGGAATTCTGGGAGTTGAAGTCCACGAGTCATAAAAGAGCCAAGGTTGCCTACCCCTGCCTTAGGCCATACCTAGACACGGTGACCCTCATGCACACTGGCCACTCAGCTGACCCTAGGTGCACACGAATGAAGGCAAATACGTGTGTCCCAGGATGAAGTTGCAGGATCCCATCTGGGTCGGTCACCGGGACCAGAGATTTCGTCTTCCGAGTTTTTGGACTCCTCCTGGAGTCCATCCTCAGGGAACTCCTCTCTAGCAGTGTGTGTACTGTTCTGTGTGTGGTATTTACAGGGCCTGTCCTAAGTGGCTTTTTAGCTGTTGATTAGAGTGCGTTGATGGCTGGCTTTTAAATCATTAGCTGTCCTTTGCCTGTGCTGCCCAGCCCTGGCCTTCTAAGCACTTGATAGGCTGGTAGTCAATCAGCACTCCTGCTGACTGTGAAGGGGCCCATTTCCCAGACTTCAATCACTTCCCTGGCTGTTTTTGTGCCTGCTCATCCAACAATCTTAGTAGCTGCAAAACTGAATGTGTGTCCTTGTTCAGTGGTGCCACCTGACCCTTTTTCTCCCACCCCAGACTGGGGAATGACCTGCAGGTGCCAGCATGCCAAGCTAAGCTGCGGCCGACTAATTCAGGAGTGTTGTGCAAAGTCGGGCATCGTGCACCTGTGAGGGGCAACCTGTCTGAAGATCTCCATCCAGGGATCAGCACACGATCCAAGGGATGGTTGGGGAATGAACTGCAGGGTGGGACAGGGCCTCTGGTTGCTCAGGCACTTGCTGTTGAAGGGAAGCAAAGCCCTGCCGGTATATATATATTATTATTCCTGGGCACAGAAGACCAAGGCCGAGGGGGCTTCTGCCTTATGGCCCCCTCTTCCCAGCCCTTGGATCAGTCTGTTCCGTGGCTGTGCTGCTTTGAAGCTCAGCAAGTCCTCTCTTTTCCCTCTGTCTTCCCTTCAGAGTCCATTAATTGCTGGCCTCTGGCAAAGGGGACACTGCCAGTCTGGATGAACCCAGCCATCTCCTCCAGGAGGACCCTCTTCTGGGCATGACCCATAACTTTGCAGCCCCCCTCCTCAGATTCCTTTCCAACTCTCATCTACTGCCTTTGAGGTACACGGGTGCCAAGAACTCGGACCCACCAGAAGCGGCTCTTCGTCTTGTCCCCTCTTGTCCCCCCACTCACCCGCACTGGCGCCAAAGTCCGAGTCGAGGCCAGGCCCTTGGGAGGCCGTGTAGTTGGCAGAGTTGAGATGGGCCCTCCTGTCCCCAGGCCGGATGCTGCTACCAAACTCAAAAGGCCCAGTGCTGGAATGGGTACCTGATGCCAACCGGCTGCAGCTAGGGGGCTTCCTCTGGGTGCTGGTGTGGCAGCTGGAGAAGACCCTCTCCAGGACACCCTACGGAGAAGGGAGCAAGTTGCCAGGGATCTCTTGGGATCTGTTCCCACTCGCAGCAAGATCTCTTAGTTCACCCTGTTTTGGCCAGGAACAAGTGGACGAAAGGGAAAATTAACCAAGTCTTCCCCCCTTCATCAAGTCAAGGGACCCTTTCAGTATTTTCCTTCTTGCTGACCATCCCAAGCCTGGCTGTCCTGCCTTGAAGGGGGGGGGAAGTGGAGCAACATTTAGGGGTTAGGGCTCTTAGAGGGGGTCCCATCAGTGGGCCCCTGATGACGGCAGGCTCCGTTCCACAGCAAGGTCCTCAAAAGTCTTGCCGAGAGGTTGGAGGGGAAGCAAAGTCACCATTTAAGTGGGAGGGTCGACCCTCAAGCATGGCTGGCTGAAGCTTGGCTGGGAAGTAATAATAATAGTAGTAGTAGTAGTAGTAGTAGTAGTAGTAGTAGTAGTAGTAGTAGTAGTAGTAGTAGTAGTAGTAGTAATAATAATAATAATAATAATGATAATAATAATAATAATAATAATAATAATAATAAAGTTGGAAGGGACTTTGGAGGTCATCTAGTCCAACCCCCTGCTCAGGCAGCCCAATAAACCTGAAAGGCCGGATTACAGGAAGAGGCAAGAGGGGGTCCCTGGAAAATGCCCCCTACTTACCCCAGTGCCCGAGGAGGTGACAGGAGAGTTGGGGGGCACCAAGACGGGCTGCTTTTCCAAGTCGGTGGAGGAGGACGGCGGCGCCCCTCTCTCCAGCCGGAGCAAACGAGGGCTGGATCCGGGCAGGTAGGACACGGCCGCCTTCCTCCCGCAACAGGGCGCCCGCGGGCCAGCGGCGCCCGTCGGAGCTGCACCCCGGGTCTGGCCGAGCTGCCGCCGGGCCGTCCCGCCGCCCGGATCGTGCCTGAGCACGGCAACCTTGGGGGCTCCCGGGAGGAGGCGCGGGGGCGTGTCGGGGCCCCGGGCGGCGCTGGGGGCCCCCACCCTCCGGCACAGGCGCCAGCGCACGAGGAGCAGCGCGCTGAGCAGGAGCAGGAGGAGCAGGCAGGGCAGCAGCAGCCCCATCAGCAGGCGGAGGGAGCGCTCTAGGGCCGAAATCTGGCCCGCCAGACCCCGCAGGGGCTCCATCGCGGCGGCGGGGAAACGGGCAGGGCCGGCCGGCGGGCCTTAAGGAGCCGCAGCTGCGACGGCCGGAGATGGGATTCAGGTGCCGCTCGGGGCGGCTTAAAGGCGGACTCCTGCGCTCCCGGGAGAGCTTGACCGGCCCTGCCTGGGGGCAGCACCCGCGGGCCCCCAGTTAGGCAGGCAGGCAGGCTGGCTTCGCTCGACCCCCCCCCCTTGCAGCTGATGGAAGCACCTAAGCCGGGCAATGGCCCCGTTGGGAGGGAAGGGGGAAGAATCTCCCACCGGCTGCCTGCAAAAGACAACCCGGGGGAGCAACTGCCTCCCCCGCTGCCAAGACCGAGGAAAAGTCCTCGCCGGGCCTGCAAAATAAGGTCCCTCCAGCAGCCCCCGCCCCGCCCAGGAGCCCTTGAGGCTCCTTCACACTTTCTGGGGCCATTGGAGAAGGGGCAGGAGGGGGAAGCCCCTCCCCGTTGTGTTTGGCTTGGCTACTACCGTAAATAGGGATGGGTACGATGGACTTCTTTGCTTGGGGGGTAGGGACGAGAGAGGCTCCTTCGTAGCTGCTGAGTAGCCGACCCCTATGGTCCAGGGCTGGGGGCAAGTGGTACCCGGGTGAAGGAGTCCATGGACCAGGAAGAGCATGGCTGATCAGATGTGATCCAGGAGAACAATGGCAGGCTCTGAGCGGTCACACGTGGTCTTTAGCCAGGATAACGTGTTTGCTAAGAGTCTATACGGAGATTCTCCGTCCTCCAGGTCACGGTTGTCCCAAAGGTGCTTTTTCCAAAAGGCAACTGGACTTTTGTTGGGTTTTTCCTTTGAAAACGTTTCACTTCACATCCAAGAAGCTTCTTCAGTTCTCTTTTAAGTATTTTCGAAGAAAAAAAACAAGAAAGTCCAGTTACCTTTTGGAAAAAAGCACCTTTGGGTGTTTGTTAAGAGCAGACACCAAACTGGGTGGCTCACACATGCTTCTACTC